ATGCGTATTTAGTATACTTATTCATCTTGAATTCTTTCCTCTCAGTCGTTCTCGTTTGATATTAGGGACTTTTAGATTTGCACGAAGACAATGTGGATTGATACGGTCGACGTCCTTTTAATGCACTGCCTTGAATGGACGTCACACGTATCAGTCCACGCAAATCTAAAAGTCCCTATTTTAGATTTGCGTGGACTGATACGTGTGGCGTCCATTCAAGGCAGTGCATTAATAGGACGTCGATCGTAGCAAAGACCTATTGGCCCGAATTCACAAAGGAGGTTTGTCGACAAACCTCCTTTTGTTTTATACAAACCAGGTTTGTAAAAAAACGCGTAAAAACGCGTCATATGACGTACATAAACCTCGGTTTGCCGACAAACCTCCTTTGTGAATTTGGGCCATTGTCTTCGTGCGAATCTAAAAGTCCCTAGTCTATACGTTTGGGAGAACTGTGTTTCTATCAATATAATTTCATGTCTGCACACAGTCTTCTTGCAGCCATGGAGCAGCAACATTAAATTCGGTTACCTTAATTTCATATGAGATGACATTGAGGTTATCACGGCATTGTCTCCATTAAAAGTTATAATGCGTACAATACACACAATATAACAGACAAGTTTGGAAATTCATGGACACTTTTAACCACATTAAAAACTATTACATTAGTCATGTTTTTTAACATTAGTGGTCAATATAGTAACATACATTTAATTGGGAAAGATTTGTGTTGTCAACACTGCTAAACATTGTAGTAAATAAGGATTTTTGCAAGTACTTTTCAATTTTGACCTGGTCAGAATAACAGGCGTTTTTTCCCTTTGCCAAATACCAATATATTCAGCTTCGCCCTTGTAGATTTGATTATTTCCCGCTTACATGACGTATGTAGCATCTCAGTAAAGGGTTACCGTACTTTATTATCTATGATTCCATCATGAAAGGAAAATATGTACTTTGTTTGGAAAGAGTGCAAAACACCTTTCAAGTCTACTGTAGATCAATTGAGTTATTTGCACGATTGGATGCGGTTTCATGCACAATTTTGTTATGTTAACCCACACAGTACCATTAAAGCACTTTTATACAGACCCTGCACGTAAATCCCATGCATTCTTCTGTCTAGTAGTCTTAGAGTTAATTTTCTTAGGGTTCCCCCTTTTGATGTTTTATGGCGCCTGTTTTTTGCATCGCTTCAAATACTGGAGTGAGTACCATTGTGCATGTGTACACTCCATAATTATAACCCCTCTATTATTCAGTATGTGACAGAATAGAATTCACGAAATAAAAGAGACTTCATGGCCTGTCTCTTTACAACTAGCCAAACAAAGTATTGAATTCTATCATCTCGAGAAGAAAAAAATGTCGTTATAAGTGAAATAAAATGTAAAAAGGGATGAATCAAACACCGGAGGGTTTTAAATTCTATATGTCCAAATAAGGGCATAAATGCCATTATAAATAAGAGCTTTTGAGCGATAACAAGCTGAACTTGGAAAAGGGATTTTTCAATGTCTGGCTATGGTCCGATAAGGATAATATTTCCGGATTCTATCCAACGTCACCCCGTTCAAGAATTAGAAGAACAATGGAACCGGTTATAACCAGTATGATGTTGACATGACATTAACGTTTGACAGTAACCAAGATAAAGGTTATTATATTATAGGACTATTTTCTCAATCAATTTTCAACAACGATGAAAGACTATTCATATCTATGGCTCATCTATGGCTCATAAGTTGGGACATTTATATTCTATCACAATGAACTTAGGTAGCGAAAGGACCCTTGATTGCAAAGGAAATGTGTACCATTATGCTTTAAAAAAGGAAATTATTATAGACTGCAAAAATCCCGTCCCAAACCCCAGCGTCCTATATTGTGGTGGTGGTAATAACAGTGGCCACCTGACATGCATTTGGGAGCCAGAGTGCTTTTCATTACAAAATGTCACCATCACCTTACTCCCCCTTCCCAGCCACACACACATACACACACAAACATACGGAGGGATGTTTGAGAGGTGGGGTAACGAAAAGGGCATTGTATGTGGAAATATCCTATTTGATTCTGTCAAACTCTGAAGTCTATAAAATGTCATTAAAATATGTGTTTTGTCATTTCACAGATAACCCTGATACTTGAAATAACAGCAGTGCTATACAAAGGCAGCCCCCCCCCCCCCCCCACCACACACACACACACACATACGCTCATGACAGAGGTTGGTTAGTTATTATTAATGGGTATTTTTGTTAATTTTAATTACATCTATTTCTTCAAATGGAGCTGTCGGGAAGGATGAATCGCAACAGCACATCACAGGAGGAAATCACAAGATAGTATGGATGAGTTAAATCTCTCACTGGTGGAATAGCTATAATGTGTTTGTTTTTACAAGAGATGGCGCTTCACCACTTGTTTGATATCCGGATTAACAAGATGCAGACAGGCCACATTGTAACGTTTCAAACAAGAAATTGCGCTAGACCACTTGTTTTATAGTTAATCTATATACCTTGACTAGCTTTGACTTGTTTTCATGACCAAATAACACGTTGCCTTCATGTACAAGGAAGGCATCTTAATAATGTTTTAAACAAGAGATGGGACTAGACCACTTATTTGAAAACGGTATTGACTATGCCAAAGTATTAAAGGTGAAATTCAAAGAAAATCACAAATTGAATTTATTTATTCACCACCATTGAAAACATTGAAACAAAAGATAAATGTACAATGACAATTTCAAAAGGTGATGGAAAACGCGGCTGAATTTGGCTTTGGGGCTGATAATTTCAAAGGCTTTACGATCGTGTCACATTCTGCAAAACATGACGGAACCGGAAACAGGAAACTGCAGTGAAAGCGTAGGAGTAGCGGGGAACACGAGAAAACCCGGAAACGTGAAGGGCCCGGATGATGGTTGTCGAGAAATTCTCAAAATTGGGCATGATGCGTACCGTAACAATGCAATGTCATCATTAACAAAACAGTACAGACTAAACTTATCCTTTTGGATAAGCCATAAAAGTAACTTTCGACAGAAAACTGGTGTAACAATCTACGCAGTAGTCAAACAAAATAATGATATCGTACAAAACACTTTGTGTGACAACTCCAGGTCCCCCACTCGGTGTTATTTAGGGTACGCATATGCGTGTTCCCAGCGACCCCCCCCCCCCCTTTTTCAGCAAAGGTCCGGTGTGTAAAGTCAATACGGGTAGACCTTTTTCTTTTGTTACGAGCCGGAGAGTTTGGAAACACGCATGGTATCCCTCCGTTCACGGAGTGGGGGGCGCTCTCCAGGTGCATTATTCACTGCTTACTGTAGCATGAATTCTTAGACTATTGAATATGGCATTTTCGTAATGTAATTGAATGCACTAATGATTGGTAAATGCCTCTTACAAATTATTTCATTCACGTGTTACGAATAATTGTATTTCCACAGTAATAATGTGAATTGCTTACATAACGTGTTGTTAGGTAGGACAAGCCATAATTATGTGTCCTATACCTAGCAATTCACATTCTGACTATTGAAATACATTTATTCGTAACAGGTGAATGAAATAATTTGTAACGGGGAACTTAACACAGATTTGAGCATTAAATTTGATTACCCTACGAAAGTGGTCTATTCAACAATCAATTGACATAATGTGTATTAACGCTTTGTGTGCATCAGGTTTTAATTGAAATTATGAGCTAAAGGTGCACGATGTTGAGTATGAAGCAGGCGCGTACACAGGGGGGGGGTTACCCCCCCCCCCCCTTTGGTAATTTTTTGTGTGTAAACCCCCCCTAAATTTCTCTTAAACCCCCCCCCCCCTTTTGGATTTTTTTTTTTGTTATTATTCAGCGGTCGGCTGAGTCGTTGCGCTTTTTTTGGGACCAAAAAAAAAAAAGTGACCTCTTACCCCCCCCCCCCCCCCCCCCCCCGCTTATTCAGCGGCTGGCTGAGTCGTTGCGAAATTTTCGGCCCGATTTATAAATGTTAAACCCCCCCCCCCCCCTTGAAAAAATCCTGCGTACGCGCCTGGTATGAAGTAGACTCTACAGCATGCAATCTATATCTATTATAATACAAGGAAATGAGGCGAATAGGTCGAAAATCGCTGACGAAAATGAAAATGACAACAATACATTTGTGGTCATCACTGTCCATTTTCCGAATTATATTTATTGTTTAAAAAATGACGAGTTCTAAACTAAAATCATTGAATTAAGTATTACAACCAATGTAATATAATGTTGAAATTCATTTCAGTGACTACAATTGCATAATAACAAACAGCTAATATGATACAGGTGCAAACAAATTAATGTCTCAAAGCTAATTCCACTTGTCGCAACAAATAGTTAAATATGCATCTTGTAAATACACAAAATGCTTAAAGAAACATAATCTTGTTTATTTTTTGAATGTTGAAAATTACAACTGCAAAAGCACCATTTACTAAAACCTATTATATATATATATATTAGTGGTTAAAAATAAAGGGTCAAACTTAGACACCAAGCAAAGGATATATATTTCAGACCATGACATTAACATACAGCGCACATTGTGCTTACATTCAATTCAATCATGGTTTACTAAAAATGACTGTGGATATTTGGTGGACAGTTGCTAAAATCGATTTTGATTTATCATTATTGATATACCAATAGAAGCCATTGGATTTTTAAAGTGCAAGCCAAATTCAATATAATAGAAATAGCAAAAGAAGAAAACATGTAAAAGCTGAACGTTAAAGATATATAAATTAGAAAATATTGATAAAATTGTCTCTATAAAGCATACAAAAGACCGTTGTTAAAAGCATTGTCATTTCATACAATTACCTCACTGTTCTCAAGAAAAAGAATTTTGCACGAGAGCAAAAAGGTCAAGGAAAATAAAGGAATTTGTTTCTAGGAACATTAAATACTGTAAATAAAGAAAATGTGATATTTGATATTGAGGAGAGAAAGAAAGAAATTGGCGGATTTCATTTGAAACAGAAGAGAGAAATACAGAATAGGAAGAAAAGAGAATAGGAGCTTCAATAAAACTAGATGAAAAATGAGTATACACACGTACAGTTTTGTGAACAGAGAATGAAAATGGTAGTGGTTAAGAAGGAAAAAAGTAGAAGATGTGAGTTGGTATAGCGATACTCTCAGTAGAACTGTCGTCACATTTCTACAGGTTCACTCTGACTATATCAGATTGTGATGTTTAGCCCTAAAAGGGCCGGAGGGGCGGAATCTTCTATCTTAGATTTCTTATTATTATTGGTACGATTTCATTTTAAAATTCGGCATTTTTCTGCTTTCATAAAAAATGACATAATACCTTTGAAAAACACAAGACATTCATATTGACATTCTTCATGAGATCATGGATTTCCTCTTTTTATGCATTTATGCTATTTTTTGACAGTTCCTGCGCATTCCTTTTTATCTTTCATTCTCGATGTCGTCACGCTTATCCCCCAACAAAATAATGATTTCTGCCAAATCATATAACTCTTTCAGTCCTTCTTTTTCTTTGAACTAAATACCGAGAGGCAGCAGGCTACTAAGAAGCTGAGCAACTTATACATGGCGCAGACAATTAGCAAACCAATCAGCGTTAAGAGGGCAATGACGTCAATGAGATGGCTTTGGAAGATGTTGAGTTCGTGGACAGGTGACCTCATGTAGTCTCCGCCATGGTTGATGATATGTTCGATCCAGAATGCAGAGCGTTCCGCCGGACGAAGAGGACGGTCTTTGAAAATGGCCGACATTTTCTGCGCTCTTTCACGGTAACTAACACATTTTAAGAGAGAAAAGATAAAAAGACGAAAAAAGTCATAATAAAAAAATATTGGCAGAAGCATGCCCGCAGAATAAAATGAGATGTTTTGCAATCAATCTTTCGTTAATTCAGACTATATAGGTATTCCCTATGATTGACATTAATTTACGACCACACAAAGGAATAATCGTTTATATAAACATTACGCTCAGTTTAGAACCAGTAAAATAATGTTTGGATACTGAAATGTGCGAATTCTAGCACTATTTCGTTATATCTTTTGGTAAATCGGGAGGGGAGGGAGGGAGATGGTCCCCTTTTTTGAGAAAAAAAACCCTCTTTAGGGGGGATCCCTCAGTGGATAGTGCCAGCGGGAACCCGCGAGATATAATTTCACGGGGGGAAAATACGGATTTGTAATATTAAGCTAAAAAATTGCTTTACTTTTAGTATGAAATGTCTTCATTGCGAGTAGTATTAGACGGGGAAAAACATTCCTTTCTTAAAGAGGGATTTTTCAGTTAAACTCAAAACTAATATAGTCTTTCGTGTTGAGCATTTAGAACATGTTGAAAACAAAGGAAAACAATAAATATTAAACCATACAAATAAACGCAGCCTTGACATCCTACAAACGTTTCTCTTCATAAAATTGCCTAATTGGTAACTCTTTGAATGAGGCGGAAACTATATATGGCGCGCTCTGAATTAGTATTCAAACTAATTCGCGGTACGGTAAAATGTGTTCCGTCTGATTTAATCAATCATTCATCTCAAACAAAAAGAAAAAATCCCTTAATGTGATCATTAACTAATATTTCTTTTTCACAAGGGAAATTGTACAAACGAAATTTGAGAGAGTAGATTTACTTGTTGTTGGAAAGGACCTCTATGAGTGCGCTCAGAATAACGTCCTTGCTTAGCTTGAACTTGTCTAGTTTGAGTCCCATTCCGCGGTCCCGGACTCTTGTTCCGGAGTCAAACTGGTCAGCGAGGATTGGAACCACGATCAGGGGTACGCCGTGGAAGAGCGCTTCGTGAAGACCGTTGTTGCCACCATGAAACATCATGAGACGAGTCTTATTGTGACCTGGAGATCAAAGGTATCATAAAGACAGTGATGTAGTTACGAGAACGTGCCTGCTCTCCGATCGGATCGCGGAAAAAACACGTGAAAAGAGAGAAAGAGACAGAAAGAAAAGGAAATGGGAAATGCCACGTCAACAACAGATTTGCGAAAGTATCCTACACCCTCTTCTCACTTGAAGGTCTTGCATTCCTCGCACTCCATACATCGGTGCAAGTGCCCTACTACGCTTTGCCTCACATTTTAATTAGAGGCAGACTTCTTCATTTCAATTTGCACTGAAAATAATATATTTATATAGGTAGATAGATATATAGACAATTAAATAGTTTAATAAATTAATTCATTAATAACGATGATAAACTTAATGATGATGATGAAGACAATATTCATAATGATTCTAATAATAACAAAAGCATTATTGATAATGATTATAATAATAACGAAAGCATTAATAAAAATGATAATTTATTATAAATATGGTTACCTAGGAGGTCATTCTGGGGTAGCCAAGGTCGAGTCATGACATTCTTTGGAAGGTCAAAGGTCAATTTCTGCAATAAGTCGTCATGCATATGCCACATTACTTTCTGGTCGATCTCGGCGAATGCCTGGGCGAAAACCTCAAGGAATTCGGGCGCGATATCGGTGAGATAGGTCCCGAGGGTAAAGATGACCACGCCGTATTCGCCAGAACTCTGCATAAAGTCCTCGATGTCCTGCAAAAGAAAAATCAAGCCTAATGATCGTGTTGAAAAGATCAAACAACTATGCATGTGAAATTATATAGTAACCTATAATATTATGGCTTAGATAAACCCATGACTGTTTTTAAGCAAATGGTTCACAAACACTTTAAGAACAAGTCTATTCACCAACGATTGATTTTTTTTGACAACTGGTAGGCCACACTGTATTTCCCTTCATTTATTAAATATATTTATCCTTATTCGCGATCCGTTCATTGTTGTATTCAAGGAGATTATTTCAGTTGAAACTCCGAGTCTTGCCAAACATTTTATTATTATGATACTGTTTAGGATTATGTCTAATAAAAAAAATGTATGTAAATATTGACGCACGTTTGAAGGAAGATAACGGTAGTAAATACAGAAAGAGAGAAAAAAAAAACACAAAGAAATATTTAAATCAGTAATACCTGTGGAAGCTGACTGGCAGGCCGGGTCGTCAACCCGCCTGCTGGTATCACATTGGGGGTCAGAGGAACGGGGAAGTCCATGGCGGAGTCGGAGGCCACGATCCAAAGATCGACATCATTCAGGACTTCGTTTATCGTCATGTCTGGCCTGATATTGTACTCATCTAAATGATAAAGGTAAGGGTAGAAATGATGCATGTACATTAAAGTACGACATTTACTTTGATGCAGCTTGCATGTCATGTACGCCCGCATGTACGTAGGCCTGTAAAATGATGGGAATTTGATTGGTAGTAAGACAAATATAACTTAATGCTTAAGGCTTTATTTCGTCAAATAACAGAGTTGGGGCTAGAGTTGCAATCGGTTTGGTATAGTTTGGTACAGGATTGAATTGAGGTATTCGGTTAGATTATAAGAAATTGACTGCGAAGCAATGATATTGTTGTCCTGGAGCATGATCATTCTGTACAACCTTTGGACATGTTTGGAGGAGTGCAGTGGAGTTTATCCAGCACCCCTAGCTCCAAGGGCCGCGACAGGAATATAAATCAATTACTCCTGCTAATTAATAATAATAATAATAATAAATTATATTTCTATAGCGCATTATACAAGGTATAATTACTCCGAGGTAATTGTCCAAAGAGATAATTGAGTTAATATTTAGAAGTAATTATCCATAGGCACTTTTTTTTGGGGGGGGGGGGCTTATTTACTAAGAGACTAAAGGGCAAGAATAATTATTATTACCGACAGCTTATCAAAGCATATATGGCATTAAGCAAATGAGTACACTGCCCTGTCCGGGTGTAATTATTAAGGTGGAAGTTGTCCGGGTTCTACAATCTGGGTGGCAGTTTTTCCTGGGTGTAGGCCTAATTCTTCAGGGATCACCGTCATGATATACCCTTTAATAGTTCAATAATGAAACCGAACATTTAGTTATAAGAATTCAGCAATCAACTACTGAGTGTACAGTATAATTTATGATAGCATATAAATTATGAGATTATGAGATATCATTTAAAGAAAACATATATTTCTTTTATCATAGCTCCAAATTATTAAATTGTCTCTCTTTTGAAACGCGAACCATAAACACACTGGCTACCTTTGTTCGCACCATTGATTTGAATGAACTCATATAGACTGAACCTTGTCTTGCCCTTTTTACATTTTTTTTCCTTCAATTTGATATTCTATTGATGGTTATGTTATAGTTTTTTTGTTTTTTTAATACTTATAAACGTGATAAATATTATACCCATCCTCTTATTCCTGTCTTTTTATTTTCTTCTTGTTTTTCTCTTATGTTTACCTTGATGTTTTTTTTGGTGTTATGTTATCGGTTTTACTCGTATGCTTGTTGTCGTTCTAGTTGAATATCTGTAATTAACTGTCTTATTGTTTGTTTGTTTTGTACATTAATTTGTTAGATATTTATTTGTTGTAACTACATGTACATTTTCATTGCCTTACTTCTTGCATTTGAAACGTTTTACATATTATTGTATAATTCACTGCATACTTATTGTTATTTTTATGTTTGTGGACCCCTTCGAAAATCAGCTGTGCTGAAAGGGCCATCCACCCTATGAGAGGAAATATATAAATAAATAAATAAATAAATAAATAAATAAATAAATAAATAAATAAATATTAACACACCTTTGATCCTTCCATATTGCCTTGCCGGGATAAATGGCGTGCCTCGACCATAATGGACCATCCAGACGTAATACGTATTGATCAACCTCTCTTTAAAACTCATCCGATTCGAGAATCCCGTCGTCATGATGGGCATATAGGCCGGATTGATCGGTATTCCCGCGTACGGGAACGCCTGCTGCACCCCATCCCCTGCTACTACCCCTACTGATGGAATCCCGAGCTCTTGAGCGATAAGCGCGCCACAAAACCAGATTGTATCAAAGACAATGACGTCGTACTTTGCGTCCTTTAAACGCCTGACGAGATCGCCATCGGCGAAGAAACTCCCACAGTCGTCGATGTAGTTGCCCTCGATGAATTTCTCGTATCCCCAGATCTGCTCGTGCGATGTTTTATGGAGCAGCGTCGCAAAGTTGGTGAATCCAGCGATGATGTCCGCGTGAGGGTGGGCATGCTGAAGGACCTCAAAGTTGAAGATATTGCTCCATGGCTCCTGATCGCGACGGAATTCGAACGCGGCCCCGAGCAGGAAGCTCACGTTATGACCCCGCCTTACGAGCTCCTCGCCCATGTTGCCGAGGGCGATGTAGTGACTGCCTGCTCCGTACTCGGCGCTCATCAGAATATTGGCGGAAAGGACGGTCTGAACAAGCACGAAGCAGACAACTACGAAAAACGGCTTGATCCGTGACATTTTCCACGAAGAGAGTATTCCCGACAGCTTATCAAAACAAACGAGCCCGTTAGTCATAAAGCTCCAAACTTTACTTATAAACTATCGTTAATGAATAACGGTAGTCCGGAATCTTGACGATGTTGTTTTATTTCGCGATCTCTCCCATCCCCAACCTGCTACAAGGCCGAAAATGGCGTGATCCACGAATCAGTACACACACATCGATGGTACTGTACGTCCGACGGGAAGTAGAATTTCGGGGATCACGCAAAATTTTCAGCTTACAACAAGTAGAGCAATATCGCGTTACGTTGGCAGAGTCGAGATTGTTAAAAAAAAACATGAAACCGACTAGATTATGGACAAGAATAACGGGAGCATAAGATTAGTGAAGATCAATGTTGAAAGGTCTGCTCATTCCGTATTCATACAGAACTCTTTTAATAGCAAAGATTTTTGTGACGAAAAGATTGGAAAATAAAGGGGCACGGAGGTGGGGGGGGGGGGGGTAATTGCATGGGCATTTAAAGTTCTGTTATCAAGTTTGCAACTGCTGTTTAAAAACGAAAACCTGGCTTTTTCCCCCATGTCGATTTTTACAATTAGCGTTAAAAGTCAAAGACTTTTTTTTCAGTGTCACATGGTCATGTTCGACAACCCCATCCCCTCCCATTCAAACTGTTCTATCGACGTCCGTGCGCTTGAAATGTTTTTATTTATCGAGTCATGCTTTTAAGAAGTACTGTATGATTTGCCAAATTAAATTCAATCCGTTTAAGGACGAACGTACAGCACTAAACTCTCAAATTGTATCTCATATTATCGTATACACACAGCAATACAAGTACAATATACATTATTAACACAGTTCCAATAAAAAAAAACTGTATTCATATGCAGGAAATCGCCCTTTGGACCTTCAAAAAAAGTGACCGCGCATTGAACCAGACCCTGGGTCCGAATTCACAAAGGAGGTTTGTAGACAAACCTAGAGGCATCGTTTAACAATGTTAAATCTGAGATGCACGGCCCTACGTGTTATCAGTGTCTGTGATATGGTGTAATATTGAAGCCCTGAAGAAAAAAACGCGCTTCAAAATGATCAAGAAGTGCCTCAAAAAAGTAAAACATATTTAAGTGTTCGGTTTTACAATATTCGTTTCCACCAATAGACTGTAGTGTTATGAAAACTGTTAGGCAAACGCAAAATTTGTTTTCGATTTCCAATCATAAATATCTTGATAATCAGACAGGCGATCGGATTGTAAAAGTCATGGGGTTCCTGACTGACCTAAAGGTTTATAATTATCATTGCAGCATGAGCCAAATCCAGGATTTTGTTTCAGAATCTGAGACAAAGTTACCGGATCCCTTTAAACATAACATTATCTGATAATTTCGACATGGTCGTGAAAGTAGTAATTGTTTATCAATTTGTTTCAGAATCTCATAAAGAAATTAAAAAAACCTTCCCCTGTAAGTTTAAAGGGGAAAAACCTAGTAGGACCCTGTGCATATACCAAGAAAGAGGAGACATAGACACATTTGCATGGTATCTTTCCCAACTAACTTTCTATCCCTGAATGGAACAGCTTGCCACTTTGCCAGCAACTACCAGGGCCTATACTCCTGAGCAGTGGCGTAATGAGCAAAAACCTTTGGGGGGGGGGGGGGGGCTGACAAAAAAAAATCCGCAACAACCCACTCTAACATGCATGGGCATCAGTGGCGGATCCAGGAATATCTTACGGGGGGGGGGGGGACACACAATGGCATGGGGTTAAATATATGTAAAACGATGAAGCGACTACTACTAGGTCGAGCGTACTCGCACTGATTTGACAAGCTTTTTCCATTCAGTTCTATTCTCCATGATCTTTGGGAGCTCCTGTCTTGGTAGACAAGTGTCTTTTTCTAACTGGTCAATGTAAGTCACATGGGCGCCCTCTGGTGCGTTTGCCCCTTGAGGGCTCCCAGAAGAGCATTTGTGAAATGATTTCACTCTTGCTCCTCCAGCAGTGCCCACTGAAACGGAGGCGACGGTCTCTCAGTCTGGCTGAGATCTGTGTAATGTCCCTATACAGTTCAATATTAGTCATATGGTCACTCCAGTTGACATTTAGTGCTGCTCTCAAGAGTCTTGTATAGCAACCATCCAGTTGTTTTGCCAGGCTACTCGTCAATGTCCAGGCTTCTGATCCATATAGCAGTACAGTTTCCACTGAAGCCCTAAAGAAACGGACTTTCAGTTTTCTACCGAGGTTTGATTTCCAAATGGCTGTCAGCTTGTTCAAAGCCGTCCAGGCTTTCGCCTTTCGGATATTCAGGTCTTGTTTTGACTGATCAACCCACGAGCCAAGGTTCTGAAAGTCTTGGACCTGCTTCAGCGTTGTCCTGTCAGCAGTACAGATCTCGCCTTCACGAAGGTTGTACATCATTAATTCTGTCTTAGTACTGTTTATTTGTAGACTGACTTGGCTTGCTGCAGACTCTACTTGTTCTAGGAGCTTCTGTGCCTTTTCCAGATTGTCTGAGATTAGTGCACTATCATCAGCAAAGTCGGTATCTGTGATAATTTCAGCAGGATATCTGCTACTTTTCCTTTCCTGTAGGGTGAAGCCTAGATCCTCGAACCCTTCAGTAGCCATTCTTAGAGCATAATCCAATGCTATGATGAATAGGTATGGTGCTAAGGTATCTCCTTGAAGTACTCCTGCTAAGATGGTAAAGGAGTCAGTCTCTCCATCTGGTGAACGTACTTCAGCTGTGGTATCTTTGTACATCACTCCTACTGCTGTAACTATTTTGTGTGGTATTCCATAGGCTCTTAAGATCTCTAACATCTTCTTCCTTTTGATTGAATCAAAGGCCTTCTTAAAATCCACGAACGTAAGCACTGCTGTCAGATGCTTTGCTTCAATACCTTCCACCAGTCTTCGCAAAGTTAGAATTTGCGCTACTATAGATCTTCCTGGACGGAATCCATTCTGGTTCTTGCGGAGAAGGGGTTCCAGGTGAGGACGGATTCTATTCAGAACGAGGCTTTAGCGGCGAGGGAGCGAAGCGATCAAGCGGGGGTGGGTCTGGGATGGGGTTTTGGCCCCCTCCCAAAGTAAGAAGCATTTGCAATTTTAGAACCACATTAGACGCATTTTCAGGCACTTCCTGGAGTAATATGACGTAAAATTGCTTTCTCCTACCCCTTCCAACAGTAGGGATCTTTTGCAATTTGAGAACCACATTTGGCGCATTAATGTCCACCGGCACTTCCTGGAAGAAAAAAACGATGCCTTCTGATTGGTTAGAAGTTAGAGAAAAGTGATCTGTCACGGCTTGAGACGTTGTATATGGTTCGATGCCGCACAATGCACAAAGACGGTGGTCCGGTACTTCATCAGTAGTACTTGCACAAATTTTCTCGAGTGTATAAGCCAAAAAAAAAAAAAAGGGGGGGGGGGTTTAGGTTTTTTTAGGGGGGTTTACATACATAAAAATACCAAAGGGGGGGGGGTTTGAAGTTCGGATAATACTTTAAATTTATGATATGTTATGGAAATATTAAGTTTCGTTGTTATAATTTATGTACATATGTAAAAAAAATATTAAAAAAACAAAACATTTTGACATGAAGAAATATTGTTTGTATGTGTTGTATTATACCTTACATTTATATGTTCTTTGTTATTCAGTTTATGTTATATTTGGAAAAATGCAAAAATAAAATAAAAATCAAATCAAATCAAATACCAGGGGCGGCGACATTTGTCGTAATCAACGGAAGGGGGCGCAAAACTAAATTTCTAGAACATCTTAATTTTTTTTCAAATTCTAAAATTCATTACATTCTTAGCCAAAATACTTTATAGTCCTGTTTATAGTAAACAATAATAACAATATAATAAATATAATAATGATGATAATGATGAAAATAATAATAGTCAAAATAATAAAAATAAAAAATAACAATAACAAAACCAAAAACCAAACATGAAACTTCTTTGATGGAAAGCCTGAAAGGTGTTTTGCCTCTGAAATATAAAAACCTTGCATTCTAGTCATGACACTTAAAAATACATTTCTATAACTTGTGAGGTAGTACAGTAACCGAGCATTTTGTAGTATTGATTGGTGATTTTGTTAACTTGGAGGGTGGGAACCCCTTGAAATTTTTCCTGTGACCTCGCAATAGTTGGCCCGAATGAGATTTGAAAATGTGTATAACCGAGCACCTCTAAAACACAAAATGAAGTCTCAGTCTGAGTTATGATCGACCTATACTATTCGCCCATTAAGATCATCCCTTAAGACTCTAATACACTAAAAAAAAAAGGCGTTCGAGGGGGGAAATGGCATCTAACAACATCCCCCCCCCCCCTTTGAGTAAGAAAATTTGGAATAAATAGGGGGAAAATAGGGGGAAAATAGGGGAAAAATCGGGAAAAATCAGGAGGAAAAAAAAAGGGGGGGGGGGGATATATAAGCGGGAAACCGATTTAAATCGGGTAATTATCAGGCCTGAATACACCATTAATAGTTGATCTTCTCCAGTTACATGTACATTCTAGGTTGAACAATACTTGTTTTCATTATACAAGAGAGTATGGCGTCCGAGCAAGATGTCGGAATGAAAGAGCACTACATGGCATATAGGGTGGTGACATGGAGCCATTTATACTCATGATTAATTATTCAGGGAGGAAGATGTTCCATATCCTCTGAGATCACCTCTTCTACTTACTTCTGACAGCAAGAAAACAACATTAATGAAACTTGCATAACCTTCAATAATTTTTTTCTTCCAATTATAATGTGATCTTTCCACATTTATGTTTACAAATTAACTGAGATAGATAGAGAGAGAAAGAAAGAGATCAGAATTAAAACCCCAAATGCACAAACACTTTACACAAATTAAACTCATCACATCCATTTTTACAATCTCATAAGATTTGTTTATTATACCCTATAGGAGTCCCATGTTTAACAAATAGCCAAAATATACAAGTACTTCACAGTAACACAAACTACACTTCTGCTAAAAACTACAATCCCAAAACATACAGAGCAGAACAACAAAAAAAGAAATGATAAACGATACAACAAACATATAATCAGTACTCATGAGACATACAGAGAAAAATTATTGCAAATCGTACCATTTCATAGTCATCTTGAATATTTAAAATGTAATTCAAAATCTATCTACCTACCTAGTTTTTATTTCTTACATTGCTACGCGTATACATGTACACAATATATGGTGCATTTTCCGATTCAAAGCAAGACTTGGAATTTCTACTGAATACAAAGAGCAAAAAATAATTGAAAAAAAGTTTCATCCTTATACAAAATGGTCCTGGTCTAATCATATACAAAATTTTAAAGTAGAATAGGTCATCTGAGCTCACTTTTAATTAATTACGATTTCATGAACTGTGTAAAATATTCTTAAAAACAAAAATATTTGCTTAAATGACACCAATTACTTTAGTTGACCATGCTGACATAAGTGCAGTCATTATTTCAGACTCAGTTTTTAATATCTATGGACCAATTCTTTTCAAAATTTTCAACAAGGATTCATTGAACAAGGACAATATCCCTTTACTATTTTCTTTGAATCTTACATTTAAAATTCTCTTATTGTTACAATTAACCAACTTGAATGTCAAATGCCAGGTGGCCACTAAGGATTGGTCATAAATCACCAACAATGAACAGGATAAAACCAGTCTTTGGAGAAAAGGTATTTACTAGTCTTGTATACCAACTTTATGATATGCACATTTTTTTACATACTTTTTCTACATAGACAAAACTTATTGTTACATCATATGTGACATGTGACCAGCTTTTACCTTCACATAGAGTTGACACCTTTCTGGCTATTGGTAGACCTAACTGTACTCACTCATTGCAAGTCATTGCAAACCGAATTTGATACAACATTCAATCACTGTGTGTGAATTAAAGATCAAAACAGAACAGAGTACCAGTACCTAATAGAAGGGCATTAAATATTCTGCCAGGCTCACAGAAAGATCTGAAACCAAGGAAACTAATTAACATAATTATCATAAAATTGATAAAGAATGTGCAGAGAATCAGCTGTAAAACAAACAAAATCACCAGCAAGCAACTACATAATGAATCATCATACATTTGTTATTCCTTTCTCTTTAAATTCATGTGAATGTTCCACGTTTATGATTGAATTATATATTTTTGATGATTAAATCTAAACCAAATCAATAACTGAAGTGTGTACCATTGATGATTTATGGTTTTATTGAAATTCATATAACAGTCTAATAGCATTGTAAGCTCAAAGCAATGGAAAAGAAGTCAGTTTGTGGTCAACAGGGTCGGATCATATTACTATGAAAACATTCAATTGTAAACGTACTTATGACATGTGCAAACAAAAAACAAAAAAATATTCATTACAGCTCTCAATTAAAAACAAACACAGCACCACACTTACGCATGTAACAAAAGATATTCAAAATGGAAAAAATGAATTAAAAATTCATAATGGAAAAAAAATGAACTGACTCATAAATGGGGGTATCCTCATCTGGTTTAAGGTTTCTCTAATAACAAAATCACTACAGAGAGGTTTAATAACGACAAAAACAAAAACATTACATATGCAAATAAAAATTAATATAGTGGGAAAGAAAACTTGTTCAATTTGGGTTTTGCAATTTTCACAAGGACGTTAATTGCTGAAAACTAATTGATAGCAAACCAATAAAATTGTAAAGTTTGGAATGAGTTTTGTATGATAAGTAAAAGTGACTCTCAAGTGAAACATATATATGATCAATATCTGGCTTCAGTAATAATACCAACTTCACAAAACCTACCATTCCTAAAACGTGATAGCTTATGAATGGGGTATATATAATTTGATCATCTGTGATTTAGAGTTGTTTCACAAAGTCCTCTTTCATTTGAAATAAATGGTTTAGAGAATGTTAATGAACTTCTTTTCCCTTTATTGAATAAAAATGGAATGTACATTTAATTGCAAAAAAAAACTGATGCACATGGAATAGGGATGACATGACTGTTTAACTCCTTATTACCCACACACTACAGAATTCTTTTATTCCCATAGCCATAACACAGAGACCACCTGATACTTGCAGACATGGGCTTAATATCAAAACAAGAGAGGGAGAAAATCTTCTAAAGATTCAAGGATTAAAAGTAACAAACCATAATTTTGTTTACCCCAGTACTTCACAAGTACAGTATATCCGGATCGAAGCTGCTCTATTAAGTTGGTATGAATGTAAGATTGCACTATTCCTTTGAATACAATTTGGCAGTCAGTAACATTGTATTTATAATAAATTCTAGCTGACATAGGTTGATATGATGCTTCCTTTATTTGATAAAGAATATATTGATATGAACATGTAGCATTGTCTCATGAAAACAAAAGAGAACATTACAGAAGGTTCATATTTGGAACACATTGGAAATTTGAAGAAATTTGCCAACTTTTTGAAACTTTGTTGTATTACATACAGGTGTACATGACTGTCCTATGTTAATACATTCTTTGCAAGTCTCTGTTTCCTAGCAGTAGGGTTTACTTTAAACAGAATAATAAAATAATCCTATCTGTTAATTACCGATCATGTGTTTCAATCACATTCAGCAGAAGCTCAATGCTTTACATGTATTTTAAGAAGACATACAGCCAATGGGATCTTTCGTTTACTAAATACCACAGTAAAACTCATAACGTAATATCTAATATCTATGCAATTCTATTGCAACTATGGCTTTTGACATTATAAAACACATTTCTTCTTAACCAAACATCCTATATTTTCTAAACAAGGGCACTTCTAAAGAGTAGTAGGCTGGTAAACAGTGGTAGGAACATACAAATAATGACTTAGTATTCATTTCATGAACAAGAGTACATTCATAATCAGAAGTTGTGCCATACTTGTGCATCTTCTTCATTTTCGTAATTCAGCTATTTCAATAATATGCATTTCACGATCGTTAATTATACAACACAGTTGTATACTTTATTTTGATAAAATGACAAGAAAAAGAAAACGATAAGATAAATGTATACAGTATCTATACAAATTGTACACTGTATTTATATATCAACAATGTAGTAATTGTACAATTATCACACAATCAGAGCATAATGTTACTAAATGAATGTACAGGATTGAATGCCTGTTTGATCTTAAAGGCAACCATACATTGGTTTCCTTTGCATATATATGTTAATCGATATATTCATAAATCAATAGTAATTATACTACCTCACTATTTTCTTGCATATGTCATTTACAATAGACAGAGATGGACTGAATCCATAGAATGTTAGTCTGTCAATAGTGTCCTTTTAGCACTAAAGACATCTTTCATTGTGGAATAACACACACTTTGGTCTCTTCCAGTTAATGCCTTTTGGCTATTTCACACCATGACATAAAGCTACGATCGATAAACAAATCCTGGTACGAATTGCTAAAACTAAGAAATAGAATATAAAAATGGGGAAAGTTCATACTTTAGAATGACTCCTGGTCTTTTTCATTCCATTATGACAAAAAACAATCTCAATATTCAATGCTTTTTTGATAAAATAAAAATCCTATGAATCTAGGATAACATGACGATGCGTCACTTATGAGAGATATATTTCTGGTTTCAGATTATCAATAACAGGCATGTCAGCCACCCTGCTCAAACATTACATGTAGTTCAGGAATCTAATATTATTTCGTTCAACTGCATTGAATCTGAATCCTAGTGACAAGGGTAGGTATATAATATCCATGATTCTTTATAAAGTGCATCAAACTTCTAGCTCTTTAACTCCTATTCATAAAAAGCTTTGGAGAAGATTTCTTCTATAGATGCACTTCATGTATGTCTTTCTTAACATACTAATACACGCTGTCCTCTAGGACTTGATGCAAGTTTCAACTGTTTTAATTTTATGTTAGAATATGGCTTATGAAGTATTCATTGATATCTTTTACTTGTTGACCTTGAAATATAAGTATTACAGTTGTTTAATAGTCCATTATACACTCCTATCATGACAGGGCTTAATCCACGTCATGTATACTTGTTTGGACAGATGGAATTGTTGCTTGTGGGGTTGTGAGTGAAGGAAGAGCGACCACAGGCCCTCATCAGTATGCTTCCCTGTATTCATGGTGCCACTTTTGGAAATTGACGTGAAAGGCCACTATGCTACCCGTTGCCATGCCAGCAATGATTGTTCTGTGTGATATAAAAAGAATAGTTACAAAAGAATAATAATAATAATAATAATCATAATAATAGTGGGTTCTTGTATAGCGCTCATGTCAGTCAGATTTGACCCTCCTGGCGCTCCCGATTATTACCCTTGCTTAAGCACGGCTGCCATTACAGCACTGTAGCATTTCAAGGAATTAATTCCTGCCAGGTACCCATTTACATCACCTGGGTTGAGTGTGGCAAATGTAGATCAATGTCTCGGCAAAGGACATTATAGAGCTTTGAGAGTAGTACACTATATTACAGAGTATCATAAATATGGGGTAGGGAAGGGGTGTAATCAAGTTGCAGGTGAGGAGTAGCGATAGATGGAGGGTTGGTGATCACTAACCGTTAACTAAAATCCCTCCAGCAGACTTCCCCAAAATAAAAACATTCTATTTTACATGATATATTATTGAAATTACATGATAGAACCCTTATATGAATGTGTAGACATTTATCTCTCCTCTATCATCTTCAATGAATGACGTCCATATTACATTCGTTAATCCGACATCCCAAAACGAGTATCCCCAAACTGTGGTGTGAAATTGGTAATAATTAAAGTTGGACAGGGCTTATAACATTTATATTTAAACAACAACTCTGTTTCAATACATTGTACATCTTTAAAATCCATAAAAGCAATTTCAACCATTTTCTCAAATAATACTGGGGCATCACAACCAACCGTGTTCTTTAATACAGTCAAACCTGTCTATAACAACCACCCAAGGGAAATACAAAAAGTGGTCTTTGTAGACAGGTTCCTTTAGTACATGTTTCAATGAGAAACCTTTTTCAAGGGAGACAAAAAATGTGGTCTTTGTAGACAGGTAGTCTTTGTAGACAGGTAGTCACTAAAGCAGGTTTGACTGTATAACCCTTATCATCAAAGACTACTTGTTCCTTATGATCTTACCTCTGTTCATGAGCTAGGTCCAGAGCTAGAATAGATGCATCACACAAAGGGAATGTATGCATGAGTGTCATCCCAGTTTCACAAAAGCCCTACTTCCACGTTTTTTTTAACAACAGCCCTTCTGATTTAGTTACCTTAATCAATTTAAGTGTATTTCTTTACTTCTTCCTTATGATCTTACCTCTGTTCATGAGCTAGGTCTAGAGCTAGAATAGATGCATCACACAATGGGAATGTATGCATGAGTTTATGATCATGGGTCCTCCAAACCTGGACCACACGGTTGTCACCACCGGTGATGAAGTAGTCCCCCTCCGGCTTCATCTTTACAGCCTGCATCACAAGAATAAAGTAACAAGACATCGATAATTTGCTTATACAATATTTCCCCCAGTGCATAACAAATGTAGGGGGGAGGGGAGGGGTGCTATGAGATGTGCTACATCCCCTTCATTTATTTAATTATTTCATTGATGTTTTAATGAAACAGGTTAGTTCTCTCGGTATTAAAACTGTTTTGCTGAGAGGCCCTGTACAAATTAAAGATTACAAATACAGAAGCGATCGATTAAAAATTAGACACATACATAACATATCAATTTTTTCTTGTTTTCTGTTGGCATGTAGGCACATATGGAATTTTAATACCTCAACGGCAAATCACAAAAATTTGATGATCCTTTTTTGTGCTTCTTAGAAATGTTTTGGCTGACCCTTTGGCAAATTTAGGTCAGACATCCTGATTTAAAATAGTCTAGCGATGCTCTGTCTATCATCAATAACAATTAAAAGAATGATCTTACATGTAGATTTGCCTGGACATCGGTGTGGTTGAGGAAATGACCATTGAGGGTGAAGGAGCAGATGTTTCCCTTGTCAAAGGTCACCAGGATGACCCCTTGCTCTGCCGCAATGGAGCAGAGACGAGGGACCTTGCAAGGAGCAGGGGGCTCCAGGGATTGAAGCAGGTCACCGGACACAGTGTGAACCAAGCAAGCTCCACCTGCAGAAAGAACATGATCCATGTTAGTGATCCAGGGGAGTGTTTCACAAAAATTGTCATCAGTGACAAATGACAGTTTATATTATAAGCTACTGAAATCCTTGCTTTTGATTGGTTATCAGCAGATTTGTCACTGATTTTTGTCATTTGTCATTGAAAAAAAGGATTGTGAAACACCCTCCAGGTCAGCTCATTCATACATTTTCACTGGTTTAAGTCTTATGTAATACATCTAGCAACTGTGCATCTTCAGCAAGAGAGGGTGCTTTAGAAACTATTGAATAAAATGATCCCTTCGTTGTACAATCTTTTGGTATCAAGGCATATGACAACAGACAGAACAAAGCAAACTATTCTGTACAGATGAAAAGCAAATCATTTGTTAGGGAAAATTATTCATTTCCTATCGAATCACTTGTGGAAATTTGTTTAATTACTCAACTTGACACATAATCACACATACAAGTTTATCCAGTGTCTTGTTTGTTAAGGGTCAAGTCTGCTATCAAGAAATATCAATAGGATCTCCTAACATTTATCTGTCGAGAGCAAGAAAAGCATTAACTCGTACCATTCAACAGAAGTTTACACCCCTCTAGCTCCAGGTAGATGAAATGGGCAATATCACTAGCAATTTCCTTTTCTATCAAATAGTCTACAGTCAATTTGCGATTGATCAATGGAATTTAAAATAAATTCATTCCATCACAACTCTGTCAAAGACAAGGACAAGGTATCCAGTTTTAATAACTGGTTTAAACAAATGTTTCCTTCTATCAGGGGACGTTTGCATCATACTGACCTTTTGATCCACTGACCACCAGGCCAAGCTCTGTACAGACGGCTACTGAGATGACCTCTGTGTCATGACCGGTCAAGATGGCTCGAGGAGTTGCCATCTCACCTACAAGAAGGACAGATATAATGAGGGAAGAGCTCAGTTGTCAGTACAACATACAGTTCTCTAAACTTACCAAAATATTACACATACTTGTACAACATATCCTTTCTATGATGCACATGTGCATGTATGAATATAAGAAAATGAGAGTAAACAATTTGTATGCAAGTAGTGTTCACAGAATAAAGAAAAATCTTGAAATGGTGGAGCGATTATCAGTTCCATAGCTTTTAGTAGTCTATCCCTCTGATACTGTACAAAATCTAATACATCGATCATTTAACGAAAATCATAGTTACAGCAATGCAAAAATATACCTGTAAAGTGCTTTCCAGGTATTGTGGATATATTATATACTTTATAACATCTAGCATATTGTTATTTTTAACATTATTGGATGGAAGGAGAAATGCGGTAGGAATTTCACACTTGACTTTGAAGATAGTGGGATAAATATCAGTTAAATTTACACAATTCCATGTAGTGAGGTATCCCCCTGTCATACCTTGAGATAACTAACAAAATTTTCTTACTGTTCACTTGACCTGCACATTATTCTCTTAGCAGATAATATAAATGTATCAATTTCACAGTCATACACCTCTCTGTCAGGAGATGCCATTACTGGGGGGTGTTTCACAAAGATCTGAAGGACTTAACAATTATGGAAAGCCGTTAGCATCATTGAAAATATTTTTTTAAAGTTATTACAAAAGGCAATACAGGCTGATTCAAATCATTCATATTTTCTATTATCAAGGAGAATTCATGTTCTTGATGTGGAATTTTTGAAAAGTCTAAAAACTTCAATTTTGCTTTGGGAAATATTTAATTTAAAGGCTACAAATAGCTCTCCATTATTTTTAAGTCCAACTTAGAGTTAAGTTCGCGACTTAGGATCTTTGTGAAATACCCCCCTGGTCTGCTCCTATACTAACCATGTACATGGTTATCCCCCAGGACCCACTGCTGCTTGGCACTCCAATGCCAGACCAGGAGAGTAGCATCCCTTGAGCCTGATACGATGTAGCAGTCTCCACCGACTGGACACTCTGACCTTCCTAGACATGTCACCATGTCCCAGTGACCATACACCACCTGGGTGACCTTGCCTGTATTCAGAAGAAGATTGTAATAATAAGGATAAACACTAAGAACAAACTGAAAATAGTTCTGTTACTAAATTGGAAGACTGAAACCAGACAAATCATTTTAACATATAACTTTCTGAAGGACAGAGCATCGATATGTCTATCACTGTTTGCACTATCAAATCATCAGGGAAATTCAACAAGACATACAATTCCTACCAACGATTGACAGCTGAAGAGTCTTGAATGCCACTTCTAATGTTTAAGAAATTGATGACCTTTCTCAAATGGTAATCGAAACGCTTATTCTAGCAGGAACATGTATCTGCATTACCATTGTCACAAATCTAAACTTTAGAAAATCCTGCATCCCTTTAATACTTTCCTGTGACAATGAATTAAATGGAGATGTTTCAAAGATTTGTTTCTGTAAGCATGTAATACTACAATGATTTAAAACCCGTCTGTACTAGTTTGGCCAGAGGGGTTTAGACCTCCCTGCAAGGTCACTGACAGGTGGTTATCTCATCAAATCAGCTCTCAATTAACATAAGAAAAAGAGGATCATGGGGGAACAACAGGCACCGATTAGGCATTGTTTGCTATATAGAGGGAGCAAGTAGCTATAAGAAGTGCAGTGGGGCTCTAATTAAACCAGGGGCTAGAGGCCAGTTGTAGGGAGGGTGTGTGCGGGGGGGGGGGGGGGGGGGGGGGGGGGGGGGGGGGGGGGGGGGGGGGGGGGGGGTGTCCTTGGATCAAAAGCTAGATCCTTCTATACATACATGTATCTGTGATAAACACCCTGAAGCTCTTATCCCAGAAGCCACATGACATGATGTATTTGTTGTCTGCTGTGGCGATGTAGCATGAGGATTTAGACTTGATGTTGGAGTCCATCGCCTCGACAATCTGTCTCCTGTGCATCCCGGTCTGTGATACTGGGTGATTAAATCAAATCAAATAAAATTATTGTAAGAATTAATGCAATAGGCCACATTACAAGAGAATACACACTTAAAGGCCTTGTTTAACAATGTGAAATCTGAGATGCATGGCCCTACGTGTTATCAGTGTCTGTGACATGGTGTAATATTGTGCTTCAAAATAATTATGAAGTGCCTCAAAAAAGTAAAATCTATGAGTGACCGGTTTTACCATATGATTTCCAATTATTAAGCATGGTATTGCTACTAGATATTGGTAGAACTCCAAAAAAGTAATATGTAGACACAGTTAGCTGGAGAGAAGGCATAGGAAGGAGACAGTGTTAGACATTTAGCAAGGTGGAGTAAGAGAGGGAGAACATTATGAATTGGAGGTGCGATGCTCCCCAGGGAGTGGAAAATGTGCATACATTTGTGTTGCGGGTAAGCCAGAATCTGATGACCGGGGTAATAATATGCGCCTAGAAACAAAGTATTAGGTGCATTATAAATGTGAACTAATTTTATTATAAATGAAACTAAGAAGACTCTGTAGTTGCTACTTACAGACGAGCGGGTCCAGCTCAATGAGTAGGTTCTTGCCAGCGTCCATTGAGTACCCAGGAGTACCAGGAACACCTGAAAACAAACAAACACAAAAAAATTATAATTTTTTTCTTTTGCAGGGTATCTCATTCCAGAGGATGTTTGGTAATAAATGTCATTATTCCAACGTTAGGGAAGGATTACTGCAACAATCATCTCATTTCAGTTTACCTGATGTTTGGATGTTCCATTCCATTTGTTCATGGTATTGGTCTGGTTACAAGCTCCTGCGATAATGGCTCAAGAAAGGACTATATAAACCTAATCAGTAGCTTATCACAACACTGACATACCTGATATTTGGTTGTTCCACTTATTCATTGCGTAGGTCTGGTTACAAGCCACTGTGATAATGGCCAATGTTGGGACCATAGGGCTGGTGTTAGCAGCAACAGGACCACACCCCTCTTCCTCCTCCCCCCCCCCCCTTCAGTAGCTTATCACAACACTAACATACCTGCTGTTTGGTTGTTCCACTTGTTCATTGCGTAGGTCTGGTTACAAGCCACCGTGATAATGGCTGGTGTAGGGACCATGGGGCTGGTATTAGCAGCAACATGGATGACGGGTGAGTTGGAGAGGAACTTGATGATCATCAGGACCTCCTGTTGGAGCTGATCTGTGTACATCATAGGGGACTGACAGGAACAGAGAAGATGACGATAAGAAGAGAGATGATAAACTTTGGTAAACAACTGCCAATGATTCAAAGTAGCAAAATATCACACTGAATAATACAGAAATATTATCTGAGGAATGTCGTAGAACTCTTATCTACTGTCAAAAAATAGTTTAGTTGAAGCTTATTTCATAGTGTGATGGAACACAGAATCTATTTCTTCTTCTGACACCTTCTCTAAGAATGCTCTCACAACCCTATGTTCTAACATTTGGTACAGATATTTGAGGTTTAAAAAAAACTAATGAACATAAGGATGTCATGACATACGGGCGAATCTGTTCAATAGCATACCTTGTGTTGAATTCATTGAGTTATGTGTGTAGGTTACAAGAGACTCACTATAAAACTTCTGAACATCTTGTATATCAACTCCAAATCTTACATGCCACTTACTGCCCCATGAACAGAGGGCATGGATGGACTGCGTGTATGATGAAGTGATAACAAAGACCTGAAAACTGTTAATTTTTTAAACTAGAAATCCTGACAGCAAGCTTACCAAGTGCATAGCTGAACTTCGAGGAGGATGTGGTTCAGTGAGAAGCTGGGCAGGGGTCTGACCAAAGCTTCTGATCTGATTCTCTATAGCCTGCATGAAAACACAATTAAAACAAAATTGATATTATTTAAAGCCTGTCTGTACTAGTTTGGGGGATTAGACCACCCAGCAAGGTCAATGACAGGTGGCCCTCTCATCAACTTAGCTCTCAATTAACATAAGAAAAAGGGGATCATGGGGGACCAACGGCCACTGCTTAGGCATTGTTTTCTATTTAGAGGGAGTAAGTAGCTACAAGTAGTATAGTGGGGCTTTAAAGTATCAATAGCATCATCACTCCAAACCATTTAGTAAAAAGTATGCATACAATTTATCTTTCAACTGTCAGATTCTGAGCTTTTATTCTTGTTCCATTTAAACCCTTAACAGCACAAAACACCTTCAATGAGTGTAAACATGACACCGCAATTACCTTTCCTATTTCAGTTAGGAAAAAAAAATATTCTCAGTTCTTACTAAAAGTGTTCTATTCAACATTCATTTTCAAATTGTTGTAGAACACCTTCAAAACATCTGGCCCTTATGGAATATTATCCACCAGCAAAACATGCCATTCAATAAAGTAAAGTTGACAATCAACTGTTATATTAGGATTCTCAGATTACCTCTCTCATGACAAGATCATCAATGGACTCCAGATCAATGCTGCCCTCATAGGTAAGATAGTAGAAGACGTTAGTGGAGCGTACAGCGTCGAGCCCCCTCTGCTTGTAGCCAAAGATGAGATCTATCCACTGGTGGAGCTGGCAGGACACAAACTCTGATTCTAGGGCCTGATATAACAGGGATTAAAATACACACATGGATTTTAAATAGATGTTTTGGAAAGGATGTTTGGAAAGGATTTCAACATCCACGCTTTACAGCTTACACATTCTCAACTGAAACAGAAGAAATATTTGCAGTCACAGACTGGAGGTCTGTCTTTTTAGGCACTGGCACTGCCGTATAGCTGGTTGGTTCCTTCTCTAGCTCATTGAGCTATTCCATAGGTTTTATGCAAATCATAGCAAAATCCACTTAGTGCACCTTTGTGCATGTTATGGTTCATAAACAAGTAAACAGAAAAAAAAAACATCAAACAGCAAAATTTTGGTTTACATTCAGTGTGTCATCGATAAATTATTTGACACATGTTCTGGCCACAGTTGCTCTTCAGTAACTTTTATACACGAGTCAAATTTAAAACTTACCCAACACTGGACCTATATTCAAATCAATCACAACCATAAGTCCAACCTTAGATGTTTGGCAAAATAAAGCCAAGAGCAAAGTCGTCCAAACAAATATTCCGATTGCCCACTTACCAGCCTGTTTATCCTGATGAAGTCTTCTGGTGATTTGGCCCAGGGTGGCAGCACAACATCGTCCACGACTGTCCCTTCATCTAGAGTGCCTAGCTGGTAGCCATTGTTGTTCATGAACATCTCAGGCAGGTAGAAGAACTCTGGAATTAATTCCTGTAGTGATCAAATGATGAAAGGGAAAAGTAGACATGGAAAAAATGAGCACTTTCATAAGAAAATTCAAGTAAATGGAAGAATTATATTTATGTTTACTTGTATATCCAACTTCGGACTATTCTAACTGACCAATGAAAGGACATACTGGCAGCTGACTTTCCGGAGAAAGTAAAATAGACTCCCTATCAAAAATAAAATGTGGTTCAATTGTGATTTGTCTTTTTCATGATTTCTACAAGACAAGACATTACTATATTCCGGAACGACTATGTATCTGGTAGTCAAAACAATACAGGAGCATTCGGTAGGTAAAAAAGATATTAGGCAATAAGAAAAGGAGAAATGGGAGCAAGAGAGGGGGATGATGAAAAAGAAGAGGAAGAGAAGAATGAAAGAATAAAACAAAATAAAAGGAGAAATAGTGAGGAAGGAGTGAGAGAAAAAAGAAATTGAAAAGGAGAGGGAAGAAGAAGAGGGGGGGGGGGGGTGAGGATGAGAGAGGACAAGGATAAGTGAGAAAAGAAAAATGAGAGGAAGATGAACTATTATATTTTACACACACATGCAAACTCCTTCTCAACCTCAGCCAGTCTCTTACCTTGACATCTGAAGTGTCCCTCTGACAGTTCTTCCACGAGGAGGCAATGGATGAGAATGTTCTTGAAGCATGATCAAATTTACCTCCTTGAAGATTCAAGAAGTATGTGGTGTAGGGCTCCTGCAAGTACCATGGAATAAAGAACAACTTTTCATACAAATTTATCACACAACACATATTCTTGATGTATCAATTGCAAACAGGATTATCCCGATCCGAGTAGGGTGTACCCCATTTCCCCCCCCCCCCCCTGTGGGACAATTACCCCCCCCCCCCCTCATTATTTCACTACCCTATGTAGTTTTCTGAGGGTTAGAGGGGTTACATTTGAAAGGATTAGGTGTCTAGGGTAATAGAGGGGTGGGGGTGTCATCCTAATATGATTTTTTTTATATCCTTTCCTTCATCATGTAAAAATTTTCTGTTAACGTTATGTTACTTTTATATGGTATTATCTCATTTATTCCTTCATCTCACCAGTCTCATAACCCATATAAAAGTAGGAGACAAGTTAAGTTGAGTTTTTTTTTTTGAGTTGAGATTTTATTATCCAAATGTTCAAATACAGTTATATAACAATAATAACAATAATAAATGTATGTTCAACAAATATCTTGAATGAACAATAGGGACTGTATTTAAAGCTGCGATGCAATAGTGGTACTTGTCATCATTCCTTCTCTTCCTCCCAAACATTTCAATATGTTGTGTTTCTATCAACTTCACTTTATTCTGTCCAATTATCAATCTACCAGTTTCTTACCAGTCTCATAAGCCACATAAGAGTGAAGCCTAGCGTTGAGTAGTGAGTGCCGTAGTGGAATGCTGGTATCTTGTCATCTTCCCAGTTCTCATACCTCTCCTGGAAGAAAGCTTTACGACTCGGATTCAGCGCCCCCATTGGCTAAAAACAGAAAGGCAAACAAAGAACAAATTAATGATGTGGTCACTCTTTAAACATTGTTTGTCCAGAGAATAATGTTACTAAATAATAAAAATACATTAGTGTAAGCAACTTTCCATGCATTGATATAAATCTGTCATTTGCATTTTAAGGTAATGGAAATTCCAAGAATGTTAATCATCTTTTGCCATACAACCATGCATTTTGTTATTTAGGACTCAAACAAATATATCACTTCATGGCAAGAAAGGCACTATGCAGGTCAAAGTATACACCGCTAATGCCCTTCTAGTTCACGATTGTACACTTGTTACTTTAGGGTCACATAAAGCTGTCTCGCGCACTGGACTGTATTACTAAATCAAACCCATATAACCCACCACACAATTAGCACAGATACAGTATAGCAATTTGATCACATTATACCACCACTTAACCTAATGATGCCTGCATGTTCCCGGCTAGGGTTCCTGCATTAATCAAACTCCAAGGACACATTTCTGTCCTGTCTCATTACAAGATGGGACAAGGCAACGTTAACATTCCTCTAATCTGCAGAGACGCATTAACACTCCCTTTAACCCCTTCACTGCTACAGACAGTACCTTCACACAATAACTCAATGCCATTTTGCTCAGTGGTGGCAATGAGAGAGTTAACTCTGTATCGGGTTCGTTATCCTGTATTGATGGGATAAAGATGCTTTCAACCTTGAACAGAGGATAACCTTTCAAGTTTTACTGTGCCATAAATATGAAGGAATGTATTCTTAATATGTTCAATTTCTTTTTAATAACAAAAGTGCACATAATTTTGTGAATCCTTTGTCAAAACAAGTATTCAGTTTGATAATGACGTCAACAAAATAAAATCTCAGATTACTGCATATTGCAGTACAGTGGGAAAACAATAAGTCTTTTCTCTGTATACCAGTATATCAAAATGTATGTTAGTTGCGATGTGATTTAATGTCATAATAATTATGCCATTTTGTCTTTTATTTTATATTTATTGTTTCATGACAGCCTTGGTAAGCTTTACCCTTTTGGACTGCTTTGTAAGTTGAACGATCTTCCAAGTTTGTCAATTTGATATAAGGTTTTACTCCATTTGAATGGTATTCTATCGTCTCTGTTTACACTTTTAATGGCTGCTCCATTAAAACAGTCTTAAATTGATGGTATGATACAGTGTATGTGACATGCTCCAGTAGATTTTGTCTTCTTATGCAATGCTTACCTTTGAAAGATCTCTGTAATTGCTTGGTAAAGTCAGGTCTAATTCTGGAGACTCGTAGTTCGTCAGCACCCACGGAAATATGGGGTACTGGTTGAGGTCGTTGTATGTACGTCCTGGATATAAACAAGAGATCAAGAAATAACTGAATAATATAAAAGTAACAACAAATGAATATATATATACATATATATTTATAGTAAAATGATGAATAAAGAGACAAAATAACAAAATTTACATGAATCTATTTGTTAAAGAGTGTAGCAATTTGCTCATCATCTTCAATGCTAATAATGAGAGAGGTATAGAGTTGTGAAGTGTGATGTCATCAAAAATCTATTTTTAGAATTTCTCAATTTTTTCTTCATGTTTCCGAAAGAGCATAAAAAATAATGTCCAAATGTCGAAAACCAATTGAATGTTAAGTTTTGGCTGAGATATGACCATCTGAATGAAAAGATTTCCTATAGGAGCTCAGTGTCATTTGCTCTGGTTCCTAACCCATATGAGCCAGAGCAAATAACACTGAGTTCCTATAGGAAATCTTTTTATTCAGATGGTCATGTCTCGGCCAATACTTAACATATTCAATTGGTTTTCTACATTTGGATAAATTTGATGCTCTTTCAGAAAATGAAGAAAAATTTGAGAATTGTAAAAATAGATTTTTATGACGTCACAGCTTCGGTACTCTATGAAACATAAATGTCTATACTGGTCACTTATGTTGTCTTTCTATTGGAGAAAATACATACATATACATGTATGTGTTGAAGAACCTGCCTAGACGGGCTACCTGTCTACAATGGCAAATATTTTTTTTATTCAGATGGTCATGTCTCGGCCAATACTTAACATATTCAATTGGTTTTCTACATTTGGATAAATTTGATGCTCTTTCAGAAAATGAAGAAAAATTTGAGAATTGTAAAAATAGATTTTTATGACGTCACAGCTTCGGTACTCTATGAAACATAAATGTCTATACTGGTCACTTATGTTGTCTTTCTATTGGAGAAAATACATACATATACATGTATGTGTTGAAGAACCTGCCTAGACGGGCTACCTGTCTACAATGGCAAATATTTTTGAATCCCTTGGGTGAGCTAAAAAAAACTCTAGTTTCATTCACATTATATCTAGAGGGAATTTGAAATCATTTCACTGTCACTCACAAGTTCATTTAAAAACCATGGTGGAAGGATCTCCTGGGGACATATTCATTTCTGATATTTGGGAAATAAAGTCAGTATATAAAGATAGAGTAACTGAAAGAGGCAATGGATCTGGAATAGCAATTCTCACCTGCTATGGTGTTGAGGTACATGAGATACTCAAAGTTGGAGATCTCTCTTCTCTGCCAGGCTGCCGTCATGTTGGACGCCTTGAACAGCTGACGAGGGGTTGCCAGGGAAACGTGTCTGTAAGATGATGCATTATGAGATGAAGAGAAACACAAAATAAGATGAAATGGAATCATAAAATTTTGAAATTTGGATGGTTACGTTATTAGCATATTAGTATCCAGGCTCTTCATTCTACATATATTTGAGAAAAAGAAAATTGTTGAATTTTGCCTTAATTTCTGCACACTCATTTCATTTTTATATTAGAGCAAGTAAAATTGGGTCTGAAATTTCTTGTCCCACCCACTTCCTTTATTTTACTCACCTACTTTTTTGTGATAAGATTTTCATTTCCTGACACGACAGGATGAAGCATTTGGGAAAATTTAGATGATCAATTAACAAAGCCTTTTTTGATGAACAGTACAGACTAAGACTTTATAATCTACAATATTTTGTTTTAGCCATTGTAGTGGATGGGGAAGTGAAGAACTCCATATTGAAATTGACCCAGTTGCATTTTTATGGGTAGAATAATATCAAATAATTTTCAAAATCTATCCACACAAAGAACCAGAGACCAAATTTACTTGACCTTAGCCTAAAACAATTTAGAGGAACTCCTAACCAATGTGGAAATTCACATTTCATCAGACTCATATGAGTGATGCAAGAGTCTATTACACATCGAAATTAAGATTCATTGATGTTAAGTTGGTGAAGACTCTGTGTAATGAATGTTCAAATGAATGAAAGAGTCATTTATTGATAGAGATGATACCAGTCTTGAAGTTGTTAGCAGAATGTTGAATTTACATGTAGACCAGACACAAAAAATTTAGATGGATAAATCACTCTTTCCCCGTCCGACCCAACGATGCCATCAACCAAATATCTTTTACTGAAAATAAACTCATGCTTTCTTTGAGAACATTAGAAGAAAGAGAAATGTAAAATTGATAAAAATTACCAAATACAAATAGCAATAAAATTCCTGAACCCCTTGTATCAACACCAGATCTGAATTTAATAAAAACATGCATGCTTTTTAGCAATGATGAATGATCCATCAAACCCAAAGAGAAGAAATTGCTCTTGCTCAAAGATGAGGTGCATGTGACCAGAAGGTGAAGAGGCAAAGAAACAAAATCATTATCATATTGCATTTGTCCATACTAAGATCAATTTCAGATATCAGAAAATAAATCATACACTGGCATTTTGCATTCTATATATATTGAGCTGTTGTAAATTTCATTTTGTTGTAAGATAGGGGTAGCTCCAGAAGGTTCATCAATATCTTTTTATTTATTGGAAGATACCCAAATTAATCTCTTCTCTTTGATCATCTGATATAGTATTCAACATGAAACATTAGTTGAGACCATAATATGATACACTCTGATAATCATATTACATGTACATCATCAGTATCATTGATTTAGATGTTTTTGACAATTCTTTCATTTCTAGAATTTTCAATTTTTTTTTTTTATTTTTTTTTTTTAAGGATTATGCTTGCTGTTGGGAAAACAGGTATAGATATATATATATGACAGAGGAAGAGAGAAACAAAAGGAAGAAATAATAATTATTTTGAGGTAAAGTACAAATTGAGAGAGAGATAAAGACAAAACAAGGGAGAGTAAGAAACAAAAAGAAGAGTAAGAAGAGAGAGAGAGAGAGAGAGAGAGAGAGAGGGGGAGGGAAGGGGGGGGGGATGTACCAAGACAGAGAGGTAAACAGAATGAAATAGCCTAAAAGACATTTAAATAGGCAAAAAGAAAAGGTCAATAAGATAGAGAGAATGTAAAAGAACAAGAGAGAGGGAGGGAAAACAGCAGCTCAAAGGAGACAAGTATAAAAATGGTGCAGAAGTAAAACAACAGAACTTAGTTTAAGCAAGAAAATAGAAATACAGGGTGGTTTTGGGATTCACCCACTCGGTCACCCACACTGGGTCACCCACACTAGGTCACCCACACTAGGTCACCTCCAAGACCCTATCATAGCATTTTGTTGACAAAACTCAAGATCATCCTCCTCTTGATAGCATCTTTAAATATCCCCACCACAATGATAGGAACAGCAGAGTGTCATCTTATTGACACGTTAGACAGGTCTGTTTGTCATATCTTAAACAAACTCTCGCTGAGATCCACTTCCACACCGCTGGCAATCACACAGAAGTATTCACACTATCGGCAATCTCTCACAAGTATCCTTGCCCTCATGAAACTTTTTAGTAGATTCAAAATGCTTATATAATTGGGGACATTTGTACAAATTTGAAATAAAAACCAGCCTACTAGAGCTTTCTCATATATCCATCTTCTTTCAAAAATCAATAAAAGTTTAGTATGAGTTTACCAATTAAGTTTGGAAGAGACCAGAGGAGTCATAGACAGGGTAAAATATTCACAGAAGACTACTGAGTCTTCATATGGTAGCTTTCATACCTTGAATTACGTTCACCGTTATTGAAGAAGCTTTTGCAATTGCACATCTTGGTGAATGGTATTTTTTCTTTCTATCGTAAAACATTATCAAATTGTACAATCTGATTTTGATATTAAAAAAACAAATTTACACACTTTCTTAAACCTTTTCCAACATCAAAATTTAAACTCTCCTCATTCTCTTTATATAAAAGTTGTATAAAGTATGATTTCTCTTGCACAGTGATATTTTTTTAATTTTAAGGAACCAATCCTGTCACAGATAATACTGAGGACTCTTGGGAAACAAAAAACCAGTGATGACTATAATAAATAATTATTTGGACATCAATGTTCTTTGCTGCTTAAAAAAATGACAAACTTAACAAATCAAAATCTTTTAAGCTTTAAGTGCCTTGCTGTTGTTGCAACGGCCTACAGTCATTGTTTATTCTCACTCATTGTCAAAAGCATTGATTATCAATGCAGATATCAGAAGAAAGAAATTATACAAATTTATTCCAAACAACATGATGAATACCCTGTGATTTCACATTCTTGAATCTTCTGTGTATGTTATGATTTATTTATCATTTTTTTCTCATGCGACATCCAAAAGAAATTATATCTCCGCTTGCTCCATCCTCCATCCTTAAATTGTATCATTATAACCCACATCAAAAGAAACATTTGATATTACCCAGAAAGCTTAAAATAAACAAAACTACCTCCAAGTGGTCTTTGGGTAGTATCTACTCATTTTGTGCATCATTATTGAAGATTTATTTCTGATAGATTCGCTTTAGCTGCTGACAAGGAGGTTGGGGTTAGTTTAGGAGACCGACAGATTGCGCCTGGTTACCATCACTCGTGACCTCATCATCCCGGGGTCGTGGAATGTGTCAACAGGGGTCAGGAGAGGGCGGTAAAGAAATCACAGTTTTCGCAAGAGCGCCTGAATATCCCTTTGAAAGTGTCGGGCTGGCATGGGGTGGGTTGTATTTGTGTAAAGTTTGCTTTTTGAGAAATGAGGCGTCGTAAATATTTGTGGAAACTAGAGTAAACTAAGCAATCCGGCATCTCTGGTTCTCACATTATGAATGATATGAATGATATGATGATGGTTTCAGAAAATTCTAAATATATCGGATATAAGAAGCAACAGTATCTGACAGTGTGACGTTCGCCTTCGATATATGTATCTGCGTAGGATCTCTCTATTTTCTTTGACACCATATGGCATTTCAAACTGCGAGAGAACTAATCGTGATGGCATTATGTCTTGATTGCTTTTTGATACATGAAGATGAAATATATACATAAATATATTATTGGTATTTGATGACATAGATTTGCGGGTGGTAAAACAAGTTGATGAATAATACATTAAAGCGCTAATGCTGAACATGTTGCCTGTGTAAATGAAGTACCCTTTTCTTAACGATTACAAAATTAGTATACACATTCTATGCTTATTATGGATTTGCATGGATGTAGGAGGATGGAGGGGGGGGGGGCAAGGAGAGAGAAGATGAACCCCCTTACCCACAAAATGTAATAAAATGAGAGGCACTCGTATGGGTGGATGTAATGATATTCTGTGTTTTCCATCATGAGATGGTGAATTTCATCTATGAAATTATCTTTTGCAAAAAATTAAGCATCCATATAGAATCTTCTTAAATTTGAATTGAATGTTGTTTCAATAAAAGTGTAAGTGAATGTCCAGTTATGTATAAATGAGCAAATGTGTGAAAAAAATGAGGGTATGTACTAATATATGCATAAAGTACATGTACAGAAACATGTATGTAATATTATGTTTTATAGGGACAAAATACTATGGGTTGTTCAGAATACTTTGTGTTCTCAATCGCAACATCTACTGCACGATAAACACGATGAACAGAAGAACGACTACAAGCACTTAAATAGATTTGTTTCATGATATATAAGAAGTGAACTGTATCACCAAAAATTAATTTATGATGTAGAAATGAAGAGTTATTGCATATCTTTACATTGCATTTTTTCCTGATTTTATTCCAAGCAAGAGGGTTTACATGAAGAAAAAAGAATTATCAAGTAAATGAGAGCTTGATATGTGCAAATTTTATGAGAAGAGAGTTTTCAAAAATCAATTATGTTGAAATAACCAAATATGGTAAGAAGTGAATGTCAAATTGGAAAATAGGTGAAGAAGATGATTGTGATAGAAAAAGAAGTTTGCAAGAAATGATGTGTTCTATCTTATCTGAGATATTTAGAAAGACAGAACTACATGTATGCCTGAAAGTTATACAGGGGCTTCCAGGGTTCTTTACATTTTTTTTGTAGCAAAGCCCAAACTAGTGTATATTCTTATGTGTGTTGAGAAATAAGTCACTCAAGGTATTAAAAGTTAAAACTTATGAAAGATTTAAAACAGAGTCCCAGTAATGGTAAATATGACTGATAGATCTAAAAGACAGAAATGAATTGTAATCAATTAAAGTGATTCATGTGGTACGGTGATTAAAAATGGCATTTGTAATTTGAATAGATGTGGTAGTGGGCTAAAAGTCATGCATGGATGAAATCATAGAACTGCAGTGTTACCTGAGCTGAAAGAAACTATCAGTGTCGAAAAAGCTGTAGTTATATGTTTGTTGTTTACTGCCTCTGCTGATGTTGAATAAAAACATGCGAAAATCATAGTGTTGCAAGTACATCCATATATCTTAAAGCTTATCTGCCGTAGTTTACAGGAGGGATTAGAGCGCCCTGCAAGGTCACTGGACAGGTGGTTATCTCGTCAACTCAGCTCTCAGTTAACATAAGAAAAAGAGGATCATGGGGGACCAATGGTCACCGATTAGGCATTGTTTGTTATATAGAGGGCACAAGTAGTGCAGTGGGCCTTTAAGTTGTCTAGAAGTTAGGTGTGGAATTTGAATTTACAGGAAACAGAAGTTCGGAAGTTTAAGAGGCATACATATTTCATGAGAAATGATTCATAATGCCATATTTGATAGAAAGCTGCATTTATTCCATTTACTCATAGCTAGAACATGGTGTTGTTAATTTTAGAGAAAGAACTACATGTGCATATACATTGAACAATTTATTCTTTCTATGTGAAATAATAAATGTTAGAAAAGTTTATACTTTGTTAATATGGAACGATGTTTAAGGAATGTTAATGGAAAAGCTTAAATCATAAATTTTGCCTCATGATTTTCTTATAGTGTGTACATGTGAATGTGTAGTTATGAAACTTTGTAATGCTACTGTTAGCAAGTCCACCTAGTTTTTTCAAAGTATAATAAGATGTCTGCTTTGAGCCAGATAGGTATTAGAGTAGCTTAGCAAAATGTAGAGCATAAAAAGGCAAATCTAGAACAGTACGGCATACTGGTAATCTTTGGTGATATTGGTGAATGTTAAGGTGCAATTTGACATAGCTGAATACGGTTTTGGTTATGCCTAATCAAGTTAGAGGAGGCATTTACCGACTCAATGACCTAATAGTAATAGCATCTTTCTGTGCCATTTCATTTTGCTACACTACCGAACTCATATCCTTTTACATAGAGTTAATCCAATGACTACTAAATTAATTCATTGCCATAGGCTTAACACAGTGGCCACCCGGTTCCAGTAGGCTATGGATTAACACCCTTCAGGCTCTCAGTGCATGAAGGCACTGCGCTTCTCACCTTGATGCTGGGACGCCGTACTTGAGGCCTACTCCAACCCTGGGTAACGCATGGACCACCTTCTTGACCGTGCTCTTGTTGGGCATGTTGAACATCACAGAGGCTGTATTTAAAGAGATAATGTTCAGAATAGTTTGCTTTAATACAAGTTTCTGGTAACATTGGGCAAGTCTAAAGTATCTTCTTATTTTGTGTCACATACTAAACATAAAATAGTGGAAAAAAGAAAATTAAATAACATCAAAATAACCATTTTCCTTTATCCATGCAATAGAAAATGTTTTTCTAACCATAGTAAAGCGCTTAGAGACATTTGTATTCCTATATGCTTAATAGTATAGAGGAAGATCCATGTTCTACAGTAGCAGGGCTAGAAACTTCATGTATACATTAATCAAGTACATTAAAATCTTGAATGGAATTGGTAATGAGGGAGGTACCTCGGCCTAACCCCTATTGAAAAAACTTTCTGCTTATGGGTCTAATACAAATATGACAATCTTCTTTGACTCCCACAACAAATGTTGAAGCAATTACTGGAATTGAGACATATTACCAATAGTTTTATTAATTTAATTTACAAATGAAAGAGTGTATTACCCCAAGGGCACTCAACATATTTTAGAACCAAAAATCCTTAGGTTCCAATACAACTACTCTAACCACTGACCTACAACTAAGTTAATATCGTGGACCTATGGTAATATATAGAGTACCTGAATACAAGAAAGTGTTCAATGAAGTTCTGCAGCATAGAATGGGCAAGTGTAAATTCCCATACATAAACCTTCAACTTGACCCTTCTGACAGGTATACCTTACACCTCAGAAAGTTTGTCAATGTTTCTCACGTTTTGTGTTCTAATATGTCACAAGTCCCTATAATTAAATGTCATCTCTGTTTTGAGGAGTATGAGTTTTGACTGAGCGTACCCACAGGCAAAGTGTAAGGTCTCCAGACACTTGTCCTCAAGAGGCAGTTCTCACTGCATAGGTTGGAAATATGACTTGAGGTCATTGTAGAGGCGACATGATACCCTTTCTTCAAATAGAGGAGCAGAATTTCAAGATTTCTGTTGGCTTGAATATTCAACAGGTACTGGAGGAGATTTGATATATATGTATCATCCCTCTGGTTGATTTTCAGGATTTGATGAGGAAACTGAGCAAATGTTCAGAAAATCTTTTGATCTAACTTGTTCACCAATGCAATTTGCAAAAAAAAAGAAATATATCACCCGGCCTGCTTATGCTTTGCTCTTGAAAGGACTAACAAAATATCAACCTCTGTGAAAATAGAGTGTTTTTAAAGGAGGGGATATCTGTGTGAAATACTTTTAGATTTGATCCTCTGCACTTCCTGTAATCATTTATGAATGACATTCTAAAAGTTAGTCTTTGACAAGCTTTTCACACAAAATGCATTTTATTCATTGATGTATTTCTTTTATTTGAAAGTTATACATACCTTGCTATACATGGTTTTGGTCAGTTGGTAACAAGATATTGATAGCAGAAACACTTTGAACCTATGATTGACATCTACATTTACATGTACATCTGGGACCCGTTTCACAAAGCATTTTGTCAATGACAAATCATAAAAATCAGTGACAAATCTGTTGACAACCAATCAGAAGCAAGGATTTCAGTAGCTTATAACAAAAACTGTCATTTGTCACAAGTTTGACAAGTTTTGTGAAACGCCGCCCTGGGCCCTGTCTTACAAAGAGTTGTGATTGATCCAAATCAATTGCAAGTTTGCAGTCTCCTATCTCTTATTTACATAGTTGCGATTGATATCAATTGCAAATGAGTTGCGATTGATATCAACTCTTTGTAAGACAGGGCCCTAAAGTACATTCCAAACCAGTATAAACTTGACTGTCTCGTCTCAGAAATCAATGAATGAATTTAAAGGCCTACTCACTTCTGTTAGCCAGGAAGATCTCTACTGCGGTATTCTGTAAGAGGTATCTCCTGGAAAAGACAGCTCTGATGTCGTTGAAGTGCCATCTTCCATGTAAACCTTCTGTGTATATCAACACCTGTAATGTACCCAAAAAAGAGACAAATTTGAAGAATGATTAATTATTGAAAGAATCTTCACATCTAATTGCTTCTCCTTCTTTTGGAGAAAGGACAAATCAATTCTTGCTAGGAAAGAAAACTGTAAGTGTTTACCGAGAGCCAGATGGGCATTGACTCTGTTCCAAGTGAAAAGAGTTAGTGCCCATTTGGCCTACAGCAGACAATATATATGTATAGCTTTGAATATTAGAACAAGTCATGCTATAATGAAAGTTCAAAAAAATATATTTCAGAAGGAAAAAATACATGGTAGATAGATGTTTGGTATATACATTACAGACACACATTGCATACATTTTCAATTATACACATGAAGCATATCACTTGCAGCTGATAGAAACTAATTAATTTTTTTTAAACCAAAAAGTTATATTACATTATTACAGGATTACAGGTTCAGAAACACTATCATATATTAGAATATGTAATTATTTGAATACCATATGTTGTCTGTTCAGAGCCAAAAGGGTGTTATTGTTAAAGTTACAAAAAAAGTGACATCCTTCTGGCTCCAAACAGACAATGTGAAATCTACAGTAGATGTAGACAAACTGAAACTTCAGTCTGAAGAAATTGTTTCAAATAAAACTTTTGTTTAAATATCAATGTGTACTTATAAAAGGTAGTAGAATGAGAAAACAAGGGGAAATAAAGAGTAAGAAAACAAGTAGTGAGAGTGAATGACAGAGACCGAGAGAAAAAACACAGAGAGAGACAGACAGACAGAACGGAGAGAGACAGAGACAGACAGAGAGAGAAGAGAGAGAGAGAGAGGAGAGATGAGAGAGAGGAGAGAGAGAGAGAGAGGAGAGATGAGAGAGAGGAGAGAGAGAGAGAGATAGACAGAGAGAGATAGAGAGAGAAATAGAGAGAGGGATTCTGGTAGGATGCTTGGACATATAGTACTACTGAGATGCCATGTTTACAGAGATGGAGTAGTGTTTAGATAGACACTTGTGATTTCAACAAACTTAGCAGGGATGCACAAAGCACCTGGGGGAAAGCTATCCAAGATTTACATTAGTCTATGCTTCATACCCTTACATTTCCTGGAGAGACAATGCATTTCTATATGACTCTTTCCTTGTCAAAGTATTAATTCTATACACATACAGGCATGAAAGTTATTGATTTACACTATAAAACAAGTTGTATCCATTGTATAAATACAAGAATGAAAGAGGACTGGATGAATATACCACCTTTATTCTGTATCACTGTGAGACACAACTGAGTGTATTCTAATTGAAAGTTCTCTTGCATTCAAACATTCATTAGATTTGGAATACTTTGAATAAAGATCGTGCAATCTCAGAAGTGAATAAGCAAAATAGTTTTGGATGGTTAAATCAGATTGCCTAAATAGTATTACAATTCTAGGTACCAGAATTTGAAAGGACTTCGAACAAATGGGAAGATAAAAATGTGAGTCCCAAAGAAACTATGTGATAATAAAATGGAGACCGTGTCTGCTGTACAAGACTATGTGCTAATTCTCTGCCATTTTAGATTGACAGCGCTGAATTTGAGACCACAAACTTATCCTGAACTTTTTCAGCTTCCAATGTTGATCAAGTTTTCTATTTCTATTTTTGTTGGGGGAGAGGAAATGGGGAGGAATAATACAAACATACATCTGTCACATTTGCATCTAAATGGAATTCTGCTGGAAGGATATTCTTGACTTAGGGTCTTACGTTTCTGTTTTTAGCCCAAAAGTAATGTATCACATACACAACCAATCATCGTAATAGTATAACATGGCACTTATACTATTTAATTAAATGTAGCATATTGAATGATGACAGAATAGTCTAACTGGCATTTCATTCCTAATTTATTTTTTGCTCATATGCATCATACTTTACCTGTTTCTGAAATGTTTGGTATTTTCAGTTATCCCATCACGCAATATGCCACTGATTTATACTTACCAATATCATTCTCCTTCAAATCCAGAGTTTTCATTCTATATATTTCTGGCTATCATTCATGTATCTGCTCTCCCATACTTATTTTAATTCTCCTCTCTGCATTCATTCACCCCTCCATCCATCAAAAGGTAAGTTTCCTTCAAAGTACGCATTTACCCCCCATCCTTCATTATATCAGGTATCCTCCCTCTCTCTCTCTCTCTCTCTCTTTCTCTCCCCCTCTCTCTCTCTCTCCCCCCCCCTCCCCCCCCCCCCCCCCCCCCCCCCCCTCTCTCTCTCTCTCTCTCTCCCATCTCACTCACTTTGTACCTATTTAATCCTCTCCTGATCTAAACACACCCCACACAATGTCCTTATAAACATTACAAACATAATGTCCCCATGTTTTATTGATATAGATGGGCCCTTTTCATTCTCTTGGACAAAAATCTGTGTACATACTAAATAGCCTTTAAAGTTTCATCGTTTTCTTAAAATCTTCAAGATTGCACACTCTCATAGTTTTGTCTCTTCAGAACCACATGGTTATATAAATGTCTGCAAATGACTGACAGTGTCATTTACATAGTATTAAGCATTTTATTATCTAGCAAAAACACTCCTATGTTACATTAATGACTAAATGACCATGTAACAGTGTAATGTAACCTGGTCATTACCCAAACCTAAATACCACTGGGGTAAAAATAGCAATGAATGATTGGAAGTAAGGAGTAGTGTCCTTCAAAGAAATGTCAATCTAATATCAGATCGTACATAGATGTTCTCTAGAGCACCACAAAACTTCTCAGTCACATTACAATTTTGCCTAAAAGTGTTTAATGTAGACTTTGATACAAGCATGATCATTTTAATGCAATACTAACTTAAACGTTTAGGACGCTTTATCAACAAAATTGTGTTCTATATAAACATTCCTATGATCATTATAACTGATGACTTTCAATTAAAGACAGTCATCAATTTGCTGAAAGATGGAGATCCCCATGTAAACACAAGACATGTGATGCCAACCCTTTTACGAGAACCAATATATTATATCTACTAAAAATATGAAAACAAACAAAAAACTTATAGAAAATCAAGAATATCTTATGTTCACATTCTGTAGTTGCTATGATATTTTGACATATTATACAAGATTTTTCCTTTGACTGTTTGGGTACCTTTACAAATCAATCCCATCACATCCAGCCTGGAGTTATTTCAAGACTATTTACTACAGTCTCTGTTTCTCTGCAATTTGTTTATTTATTTACATCAGAGCATACAGGGGTCACAGACAGGGATCAGGAGTGATGCAAGCAGGGGGTAGCACCCACCCCTCTCATGTGTCTCCCATTCTCCTACATGATACCAAACATCAAGGAGCATTCATACATGGACATCAAAACCGGGTTTCAGACCGGAATACTGGAATATTTCTGCAAATGACAAAAAACCCTCAGGCTTTGGTGCAGATGGTGTTGGGAATTTGTTATTATTAGCGTAATCTAGAGCCGAGAACCAGCATTACAGGGTGATGATAGTAAATTTATGGTATCAGTGGTGTTGGTGTTGATGATGATGATGATGATGATGATGATGATAATAGTGTTCAGATAATGAGGGAGATCTAGGTGATGATGGTATTTGGATATGCCTGGCACTGATGACTCATGACTATAATGACAAGGGAGTTGATGAAACCCATCTTACTTTCAATAAAGTTGCTGCTGGTTCAAATTCAGCTGCATCTCGTAACATCAGTTTTGCTGTAATGGCACATAAATGTTAAAAGTTTCTTAGACTTAATAGTGATGCCATATCTACAACCTTGCACCAATTTTGAATGGTTCCTAATAACATTGTGCAAATATATTGATTGCCTGTCAAGAATCTCTGCCACACATGTTGCCAAGTGTATTCTCTATCACATTCTTAAGCTTCTTGTGTAAAGATGATGTTTGGAACTTAGGATGGACCGGATTAGGGCGTTGGTATGAAAGCAGCCTCTGTTACCATCCCCATTACTCTGCCTTCTCTACGTTGTCCTATTTACCTGTTTGTTTAAGCCAAATCGTGACTTTACACGCAGCAGAGGCCCGGCGCCAGCCCCATGCCGGGAGTCTGGGGTATGGTTTCGGCTGCCGAAAAGGCCAGCCTTGCGGGGTAGGATGCCCTGCTCGGCGTGCCTCCGTAATTGAGTGGCTTTTTCCGCGTCAAATTCAATTTGGGGAGATCTAATTTTGAGAGGCACTGATAGTCGAGTGATCGCTCCGCCTTGCGGGTTGGGCGCTGTAGGGTGCATTCCAGTAGTGGAGGCATCCCGACAGACTGCGCGTCTGAAACGCACCATGTAGGCCTACTACTTGGCTACTCCATAAATGTGGAATTCATTGCCTATAGTTCACTCATTCCGTATGGGTACAACAGACCTTTACTGTCTACAGTACAATGTATGTGTACAAATTGCAAGAAGTCACAGCAAGCCACTACATGTTTATGCCAAATGAAAACTATTGCCCCTTATGAATGAAATGCTTCCACTTATTATGAATTCATTGATTCTGTAACCAATTCATAAATTTTATACCAAGTTAGATTTATTGTAGGAAGAATTAATTTTTCACTTTGCGACATATAAAATTTACAGATCAAACATGTACAAACGTCAAATACATTACCATTAAATGTATGTAATATTATTATTAATATCATTATATCAATTGGTCCACTGCTTTATCTTAAATGTAACATCAATTGAAAGTTGGAAGAAATGACCAAAGATCTAAGTTAGATTGAATTGACTGTCAGAACTTATCATTGCCACAAGTACTACTATACACACATCAAGAAATACTAACATATGCCACCCTTGTGATACCCAAGGGTTTGAGAATCCGCACAGAAAGCTCACTTTGTCCCACACAGGCTAAACCATGTGGGACTACTATTCAGGGAAGAACAAGACCGGAGACAATCAACGCTGCAATTGAATGTGACAATGCTATGGACGACTCGCATAGCAAGATATTAAGATGTTATCTAGTCTGTCATTGAACATTAGGGTAACATATCTTCATAGGTGCATGTATCTTGCAGGTGTACAGCAGCTCTCTTTCACTACAGGCAATGACAGAAAACATGAGAGGTACATTTGTAAACCATTTTTGATGATTGCAACTGACAATCTACTTGATGCTTCACTCAGATTGGTGTCAAACCAAAAGGGGGCAAGTAAGTCCACATATATTAGACAGGAATATATTATGGAATCCATAGAAGCTTTCAAACACATAACCCTAGATGCATTATGAACGTCCTTTAATGAAAATAGCCTCATAAATATTTAGTACAATGACAGGTATTTCCACAAATCGAAAGACCCCACTAGATATAAGCTTGTTACTACCTTTCATGGGCCATCCCTGTCAAGTTATACCCCTCTCTTTCTTCTGTATATTTCATGATTTACATGTCAAATATACTTGATGAATAATCAATCAATTTTGGAAAGCAAGCACACCACATTCAGCAATACACCCTCAAACCCCAAACAAGTTCAGAACCTACTACTCATACTATCCTTCCATTCAATCAAAGCTTGAAAAAAGTGTACATGGATTACTATTTTTTTTTCTTCAAATATTGGGGGAAAGAGCGCTATCAAGTGTATTAGGAAGAGCTAATATAATCTAACAGGCCAGAAAAGACTCTGCTACTTGTATGACCCTAATACTTATTTCATTTCAGCTAACATGAATGCCATGAATAAGGTTCAAGTGAATTAGCATTATGGGTGACTGGGCAGGCACACGAATCCCTTGACTCTCAAGTCTTATCAAAACAGAGTATGGATACAAAGGCCTAATCAACCTTGCTACAAAACCAACACAATGTTCTTTCTCCTTCCAAGGTCTAAATATGAGATCGTTTTGATTAGTTGAAAGTGGGACAGCACTTTTAGTGTTTCACATAATTATTATGAATTAAATTCCTGGTGGTGATTGTAATCTGGAAATTGGCAAGCCATTAAATATAGTCAGAATGTATGATGTGATTCATTTTGCCCTTTTCTAATCACCTTTGGATTTGATCTGTATTTTTCAGTCTTTGTCTGGATTTAACAGCATTATCTCCCCAGGAAATCAAAATGAGCAAATCAGTGTTTAGTTATAAGTAAACCTCATCCCATGGTGATATTGGAAATAAGAGAAATTAGGATTGTACTCTAGTCGAAACGAAATTGTGGTGAAATTTGTAGTAGACAATTAGTATAGTTGTAACCTTAAACTAAAGTGTAAACACCTGGACGAGCACCTAACTATCACATCTTCACACGTACTTATCATCTAGTCTACTTTCTTCATCAGGAAATCCTAATTTCCATGACAAAGGTCAATTTAAACAAACTGTACTATCAATAGAGTCTACATCACATTTGCTGCACGGTGTTCACAGAGATTGGATGGATTCTACGGATAAAACTGGAACTAGTGACCTCGCATGAACTATTCCAGACTTGTGGCCGCACACACGATCGACGGTGAGTAGCATTATTAGCTGTTTTTAGGCCGATCGTGCCTCGGTACCATTGCCGCTAATGAGAGGATATTTAGGACAGCAAACCTACCGACGACCCGCTTACTGGCAGGATTGTCTGATAGCACGCGACAGGTGTACAACTTCAACCCTCAAACACTTCCCACTCACCTAGTCTCTCGTATTCCATTTGTCTTTCTCTGTCCAGGGCGTTCAAGTTCAAGAGTTATTTATAGCACTGCTATAACCTGAATAACAACAATGAATCGAGGCTATAAGGCCCCCCAAAAAGAAACAATTTAAATAGTGTTTTCTTACTCATGCAGAAGCGTACGGTAAAGCTGCGAACCACACCCTATCGTTCGAAGAGGCGAAATCAGATAGTTCGGTAATTTCATATTGCAATGTCACGTGATTATAGGCGCTAGACTTTGCCATTTACGAAAACGCCACCAAATGTCCAAGCAAAAAATAGAAGAAAAAAAAATAACTTGCAACCGATAAGAAATAACAAGAGACCAAATTTACGCAAGCAGCATAGTTTCAAACTTTCAATATCCACATTAATTTCAGACAAACGTAGAAAGAGATTCGAATGAAAACTGAAAAATCTTTTAAAAATCAAATCGATGTATCAGGAAAGGACAACTTTTTAAATATTAAATGTCATTTAGATAAATATGCAACTCCCGTTATATAGAGGGAGAGAGAGAGAAAGATAGCGGGTTATTACCATATGTATATTTTCATATAATTCTTGTGAAAAGAAAAACGCGCAAAATTGTTTAAAGGTAAAGGCCAGTTATGGTCATGCGATTGCATTGTGAAAGAAACGCTGTGGGATCGATCAGAAAAGGTTGATCATCTAGCATCTAGCATCTGCAAGGTTCTGGAATCATCAAAATGATAAGAAATTTGGCCCATTCTTCGTAAAGTTACAAGCACTATACACAGAAAGATGTATATGGGACTACCCTATATCTCTCACAGACCATGAGAGAAACAAATTTTCCCAATATATGAATTAGTAGGCGGTTTCCCGGCAAATTTTTTATCATCATGTATTAGTAAAAACATATTCTTTCACATGATTGGTAATAAGAGCTTCCATTTCATTTTTTGAAATTGGGGCGTTTCCAATACTGGTCTTTACCTTTAAGTACATACAAATTAGGCCTATATGACATGGGCGGTAGGCCTACATCCACATGCCTAGTAGAGACAGATTAGACTTGCCCCGAACCTCGAGACACACAAATCACAGTTGCGTAACATTATGCGCCGGCGCCGTGCATGGTGGTGGTTTTAGCAGGGGTAGATGTGAAAACATTATTTTCTCAAAAATGTAAACAAAAACTCCAGCGTCAAACTTTTATTTTGGCTTTTATTTTGCGGTGTGTATTTCTTTTGCTGAAAGCATGTTATACACAATCAAAGTCGCCATCCCGGTTGAATTGCATGGCCGCAAAATCGTTTACTACGACCACTACGACTCATAAACAAAATGACGACTGCCACATTTTAGCACTCCATAAAAATAGGAGGAAAGGGTCTGGCGGTGTCATGATTTCTTCGCTCGTCATGTTGCCATCGACCGCTATTTGATACCCCACTCGTGGGTGAAGTGGCTTAAAAGCGCGAGAAGTAGACATCTCTGACAGGTTATAAACTCTTAACAATTATCACTTCCACTTATGTCGCGGACCAGAAAATTCACTTGATTTATTTACGTCTCGCGCCACTGAGTTTGGATATCTTGGGCGCAACGGGGCAAGAACAGAGAGGGAGTGAGTGCGTGTGTGTATGTGTTGTGCGTGTGCGTGCGTGTGTGGGTGCGTGTGTGTGTGTGTGAGAAAGAGAGAGGGAGCAGACACAGATACAAAGGAGTTTTCTTCTTTATTAATGACATTTGTTCTATACTCTTTATTTTATCCCTTTTGTACAGTGATGAAATGAAGAGTTTATCTTTGGGCGGTCAATGCAAATAATTCTCATCGCTGCTAATTGAAGTCATATAAACAACTAAAACTCATTATATCAAACGATGAAATCCTTCACGTTTCATCTTTAGACATTTTTTATACCGGCCGAGCAGGGCAGCATCTTAGGAAATTGGTAAACCATAAATCTAACTTTCCATGTTAGATTACGTTTTTCTCATTATTGCAACTGTCTCAGTGAATTTTATTTAGGACAACGCACAATTTGTGAGAATTGCTATTAGTATTCAAATGGAGCAGAAAATTGTAAATCGTTTGGAAAGAATTGTAATTTCTGTCAGCGGTTAGCGTTGAACACGTCAGTCTGACAAAATAGGATAATATATTATACTTGGGTACAAAAAGACCTCAAATGACAGAACTGCACGCAAAGCAAAAATGACGTCGTCTGCATAAAACCGGATTTTTGTAACAATATTTCGCGCGCTTCTTGGGAGGAAGTGCCCCAGTGCGGCGCACCATTTTTGAGGGGAAATGATTTGTTTATGCAAAACAGACTGTCATCTAATTTCGAAGTGTCAGAGGCCGAACAAGCTAATACATCGCCCCGTACTGACGGGGTGGTGATTTATGGTACACCGTTAAGCTCAGAGGGGGGATTTTACACATGAAAAATTGAAAATTAATTGCTCTGGAAGGGATTTCTCCTAAAGGTACGGATGTCTGCCGTTGACGGATGAGGTATATGGGAGGTATTTAAATGTAGAAAGTTCAAAGTGACGACTTATCGAGGCATCCCTTCATACCAAACTTTATCCAACACCAAATCCGATAAACCGTCTT